ACTTCAACACAACACAACTTAGCAACATATCAACTTAAACAACATCAAGTTAACTCATAGCATAATATCAATTTATTATTATCATTCACATCATACAATAGCTAGTACAATGTACATCATGTATAACATTCTCAACACATATAACTTTAATCATATAACTTAAACAACTTTTAACAACTAATGCATTGTCACACATATCAACTATGGAGATTTCCTACAATTGAGGTGAGCAACCTAAGTAACTTGATCCTACCAAATCATTATGTTAAACCTATCACAACTAGGTCAAGTAGATACAACTTCAAGTCTCTCTAAGCACTTGTTAAGCAACTTATAATTGATTTATTAGGTTTCACAACTTAAACTAAGAAAGTCAAGTACTACTGTTAGGATAGAACAACTTGAGTGTGAGACTGTTATGATCTTAACATGCATATCTAAGTCTCATATGAAATTAGTCCTCTGACTACATTCCAAAATCCATACATCTTTCTAGTAATCAATTTAGGATTTTAACCTCAACTTCGTACTTTTCTTGATTTGGTCACTTTATACATGTATGACATGACCTAATCCCTATACAATTCTACATTTGGTCGCTTTATACATGTATGACTCGACTTTGTCCCATACGGTTCTACACTTGATCACTTTATAATCAATATGACTCAACTTGCCCCCCTTTAATATTTTCACATAAAACCTAAACAAGACAACTTAAAAACAACTTTCCATTCAGGAGTCGACTTACTCATTGAAGGGTTTTTAATTCTAGGCTCTTGGAGTACCACAACTTATATACACATAATGAGATATTTTAATTTGTAAAATAACTTTACTCTACTTTTAGCTTTTATGTATCTAAACTTAAACATGTATGTCATTACCACATGTTTATACAACTTAACATCTTAATCAACCAACAACTTACAACTTAGTCAATTCTCATTCATAAACAACTTACAATTAAAACAACTTTAAACATTATTATACATCATCCTAGATCAATGCATAATGAACTATAATCACACAACATCAATTATGTAAGTGAATCATCATATACTTCAACACTTAGACAACTTAAAACATCAAGTTTCATTTCAATAAACCACGTTCGACGTCATTCTCCTAGTGCTCAATGTCATTGAGGCAAAAAACCTCTAACTCGCCCATGCTCGACAACAGACCACTTGCACTCAACACGGATGAGGCAAAGAGCCCTTGTGTCAATCATGCCCGACATAGATAAACCTACATCTGACCTCATCTAGGTAGAGACTCTTTGCTTAACCCATGCTTGATGCCACATAACCTATGCCTAGCATCGTTCAAGTAGAGAGTTACTGCCTTGATCACACCTAGCGGTACTCAACCAGGGTCTGATGCCACCAAGTTAGAGAACTCTCGAGGTAACCATGTTCGACATTCCTCAACTCACGCTTGATGTGACTAAGTCAGAGAACTCTCCTCTAACTTACATCTAATGCTACCAATCTCACGCTTGACGTTAGTGAGGTAGAAAAGCTCTAGCATGCATCATGCTTGATGTCATGAAGTTGTGCCCAACACAATGATGATTTTTATACTTGATAGAATTACATTTTGGGTCAATCCACTTGAAAATTAGAAACTTAGACCAATATGTAATGCATAACAACACAACTATACACTTCAAACAACTCAAATTTAACATCATAATCAACATGCAACCAAAGGAATCCACATAATGAACAATGATTTTCCCCCAAAAGATTTCACTATCTGTATCATTAGTGCTTTATATTTTACTCTCAATTCATCTTTATCCATATAAAATTATATTTAATTTTAATTTTAACTTTAAATGCCTATTAATTATTAAATTAATAATATCACTAATTTTTAAAGAAAAATAACTGAACTATTAATAAGTTAAATGAATCAATTTTTTTTATAATTTTAAATATGTCAAACTCTGTTTTTTTTTTAAGAAATCAAGTCCAAATTTTAATTTTAACCCGTCAAAATAATGAACTATCCAAATTTAAGTATTTTTCTTTTCTACAAGTCCAACCTAAATGTTAATTTTGATTCTCTCGTTTACAACTTCTATTACAAATTAAGATTATTAATTTTATTGAATGATATAAGATATATTTGAATAAACACTTTAATTAAACATTTACTCAATGAGTTTTTATCACATGAATGTTTGCATAATTTGACAATAAAATTTATTAAAATAACTAAAAAAATTAGAATATAAACTCTTAAAATGGCGTGATAGTGTGATGAAAAGTGTTTCTGTCTGCCACTCCTACTTATAGCAAAGAGGAAGGTGAAATAAACACATATTGCACTTTTTAATGGAGTCACAAAAGTGTTGCTTATTGTGATCTTTTCTTGTTAAAGACAAAATCGTGTTTTACTATTTTTACAAATGAATCTTTGGGTCGGCAATGAGGGGATTATGGTTGGATCTTCTTGTGATAAGAGACAATTTGTCGTATCCATTCATCCCCTCTTAACATTTCTTGTCTTTAACCAAAGCTCTTTTTCCTCCTTTTATGTTATTGTTTAATCACGATTACACTTTCTAGAAACCATGTTCCTAATTTTAAATCTTAACTAGAAATTTCATTTTCTTTTATATCAATGATCAATGTCTCCCTCATTTTAATTACATTTAGAGTAATTTGGTACTCATGATATATAATATGATATGATATAGGAGTAGAATATATAAAAAAAAAAGATAAACATTAATCTTATTATACATGTGGAAATCACGTTTTACGAACTTAAATTAACTTTTGATTATTAATTTTAAAATATTATATAAATTATGTTTATAGATTAAAAATTCTATTACATATTTAGAGCACATCATGATAATAAATAATATTACATCATTGCAATATGTGTTTCGTATTTAATACATACTAATAAGATATTATGTAAATTATATTAAAACAACAAGATTTCCATTTCATTAAAATTATATATAATTTTTAATAAATAAATTTCAAATTTATTTATTTAAATTTTTATATAAAATTTAATTTTAACTATATAATGCAATATTGTTTATAATATAATTTTTTTAAATTATAATTATTATTCAAATATTTTTAAAAAATATTTAAATAATCATTTTTTATTATAATGTTTTAGTTAGTAATATACTTTAAATTTACATGTCAAAATTATTATAATTGTAGATAAGATTAAATGCTGAATGTAAAATTTATATAATATATATATATATTGTATTTCTTTTGCTATTTTTTTATATAGTATAATATAATATAAATAATAAATTTTAATATATATAAAATGTTGAATGTAAATTTTATAATATTATACATATATATATATATATTAATAGAATATAATATTATATAAATAAATATTTAATATTATATATGTATATTTATTATATATTTTACTATTTATTATATAATATGATAAAATATATGACATAAGTGTATAGAAAGAAGAGATGATATGTTGCTTTTTGATTCATCCTTTTTTAGGATAAAAATATACATTAAAAAAAGGATAAAATAGAGATACGATAGGACAATCAAATTCTATTAACGCAATAAATATCAAATTATTACAAGATAAGGATAATTATTTTATCTTATCTTATCATATTTCTACTATCAAATATAGACTATGAATATCTTTCATTGAAAATAATTTTATTTGAATTTGATAAAATCATTAAAATTCGAGATCAATAATTAAGTTATAATAATATTTTTATCAATTGAATTACAAACTCGTTTGTAATTATATTTAATAGTTTAAAATTAATTTTGTTCAACTTAAAATACAAATAGGCCAAGTCTTAGGTTAACATGATTCTCAAGTATCCTTGAATTATGTTTAGATGTGAAATAGACAATTAGACAAGGAAGAAGGAGGTAAAAAGAGATGACCCAAATAAAGGTGATAAAGGAAGGTTTGGTATTTCATTAAAACATTGATTTGTTTCCTGAGTTTCTCTCTTTGTTCAGTAGGCAGGCAACATAATCCTCTTTTCAATGTTATAATCATCATCATTTCCACTTTCTTATTTTCCCATGTGGAACCACTTTTGACTTTAACACTGGAGGATCTGCTGTTGCCCCTCAGATATCAACTACCCTAACCCTAGGGACTAGAGACCTTTAATTGAAAGGTTGTTTTCACCTTAGCCTTTATGGATGTAATTGTGTAAATCTAATTCTTGGAATTAGTTTTGTGTGTCTTAACCATGTCGGATTGTGTTAACCTTTAATTTGCGGAAAGGCTAAATCATATTTGTTTGCCGTACAATTTTGTTTCTCTCTTGTTTACTATGCCCCTTTTTAAAAGTCAATACAATATAGCAATGTAATCATTTGTCATATGTTCCAAAATTGCATTCTACCAAATAACTTGTGACAAAGAACATGTAAATTTGGTTGGTTTCACAAGTATTGAGTCATTTACCTGGTAAGGACATGTTTCATCCAGAATCTATATCAAGCAAGAATCTCATTAATTGATGAAGAAATTTTTATTTATCATTTCTATTAAATGTAAATAGAGAGTGTTGATTCACATTTTTATTTAGTTACAAACACACCCTAAGAAATTACAATTTCTATACAATTCAAGTATAGAGATGTGGAAAAAAAAGTGTGATAAGACCTGATATATAAGAGAAAAGATATCCAAAAATTATTATAAAAATTTATTGTATGATTAGCATTATTCATTGGTTTAATCTAGTTAGAAGTTGAGCACGTGACCGCCATACTTTCATGCTTCCAAGTTGTGTAATAGTAATCTTAATAGACTTTAATCTGGGTATACCTTTTGGTATAAAAGTGACAACGAAATTTGATCCTATGACTAGATTAAAATTACCTAAACTCCTACACTAACCCAACATTGGTTGCTTATGATTGAGTATATCTAATATAAAATGTAGATCTCTTCCCCACATAATTTTCTACACCGAAATGCACGAACAGACAATGCACAAGAAGATCCAAAAGCTTTATTCAAGATAACTTTGCACAACCATTAGAATACAAAATTGTGATAGAGTGAACAGAACAGAATAGAATAGAATAGAACTGATGTCTAGTCTAGTTGCTTCACAAAAAGATTCTCATTGACTCCACAGATATATTTTAAATGAACAACTGAGATATGCCATGGGATTTCTGATCCAGCAAGATAAAGAAAAAAAGAGAGCATCATTTAAACCCCCAAAAAACCAAAAAAATAAAGGGAAAGCAGCACTTTATCAAAATACTATTTTGTAAATATTTTTGTCACTGAGAGAATACTGCCCCTTGGTTTCTTTCTCTTGAAGTCACCAGCTTCTTAATATTCCGGTTTCTTATGGAAGAATAATAGTAATGTTGCTTTTCTTCAACGCAAGAATCACATTTTTTTTTTTTCCTCGCTAGAAAAATTTTCTTCCTTGGGTTGTTTTATCAGAAACTTCTTCAAGGCTTAACAAAATAGCCTAGCTTGCACTTATCAATGATCAATCAATTGACTATTAATAAGGAATTTTGAAAAATAAAACAAAGAAAGAGCAAAGGTTAATGCATAAGAAGGGGATGACAACATTGCTTCATTTTCTAACATTTTCCTCCCTCTTGCTTTGGTTTTGTATATCCAAATTGCTTGGTTTCTAGTTTCTACCTATGACTGCACATGTCCAAAAGCTTCTTCCTTCCTTCTACTATTTCATCGAAGAAATCATCAAGTTGCCCCGTTATAGTCTCGACCCCACATCTCAACAAACCAAAGCAACTCTTAACGTTGTCAACTTTTTCTTGGATCTCAGCATAAGCTGCTATTCTCTCCAACTCCACTTTGAGTTCCTCCATGGCACTCTTTGCTTGTTGGAACTCAAACAGCAGAATCCCTGGCTGCCCTTCAATCTGGTCTATCTCCTCTGCCACTTTCTGCTGTAATATTGCCATTGAAACCATGAAGCCAGATCCAAACACCACGTGCCCCTCGTAACCTTGGTGAAAGCATGAGGAAGACCAACAATATGCAAGCCCGCATAGCAGAATCATCAAAAGCAATGAACTGACACTCCTCATTGCATAGAGAACACCTCTGAATCCACTGAATCCATTTAACTTTGATTCCATTGAAATGTTCTGAATCAAACATTGGGACAACGGTTCAATCCTTGTTTCCAATAAGCTCTTGTTCTCCTCTTCCAATCCTAGAATATCCCTTTGACAGACATTTATTGCCCTAATAACCTGCATTACATTACACCCATTAAACAAGTTTTTGGTATCAGACTACATACAATCCTGATGAAGTCAGGTAAGACTATTGCTATTAGAATATAGACAATCCTACTTAAATCAAGTAAGACTATTTGTATTAGAATACGCACAATCCTGATCGAGTCAAGTAAGATTGTTGGTATCAGAATATACACAATCCTATTCAAATCAGGTAAGATTATTGGTATCAGATTATAAATAATCATGTTTAAGTCAGGTAAGATCATTGCTATCAGACTATCAGATTATAGACAATCATGTTTAAATCAGGTAGGAGCAGTATGACATGCAATTGATATTAGACCCATTAAACAAGTTGATGATCAATAAATAAGCTTTTGACAGAAGAACATGTGTATTAGTATTAGTATTAGTATAGCAACCTGACGTGAAATTTCTGGAGTAAAGTGATGGTAACCATCCAAAGAAGAAGCTATGTTGGAGGCAGCTGAGTAATAATTCTCCATTCCAGAAATGGCTGATTTGAGTACATGGCAAGCATCCCAAAGCCTTGAGCTTTCGTCCATGTATTCATCCAACCATTTGCCTCCAACAGGCAACCTGAGCTTGCGGACCAAAATGGTTAGTTGGGAATGGAAGGATTGGAGAGAAGAGATGACCTGAGAGAGGAATTGGAATGACATGAAGGTGTGGGAGAGGAAGGATTGGTGGAGTTCATTGAGTCCTTGGTTGAGGAAGTTGTAGAAGCCACTCACAGAAGAGTTAGTGCCCATCATGCAAGGTGAGGGAAAGTTGATGGAGATTGATGGACTTATATAATTGGAAGATCAAAGAAGTGGGTAACTTAGGAGCTCAGGTTTCTATGGTGAAAGGTCTTGTTGGGTGCAATTATGGTTGTTTCCCAAACAGTGGAGGGGATGATTGGGAATCTGATGTTTTTTTTGGGCTGCTAATATAATGAGAGCAGAAGAAATGAAATAAAATAAGGTAAAGTTTCTTTTCAATTTATCTGACAACTTTTTTTTCCATTCCTTCAAGGGACTTGGTGTTAAGTGGTGGAAAGGAATATTAACAATCTTGGAGCTCTTCTTGATATAGGATATGTTTGTTGGATTGTGTTTCTTGGGGGTTAAAGTTTGACTAGTTTGACTAAGATTCTGCTTCTCATTCTTCCATTTTGATTTGATTTGGTTTGGTTTTGATTTGGATTGAGTGCTCAGTGCTCTTTCTTCTTATCCTCTTGTCACCTTTTTGGTTTTGTATTCTTAAAGAAAGTTGCACATAGTTCCATTTTGGTTCTTTTGAAAAGAGAAGTGAATGATAGGGTTCTGTGTGCTTCGAGTATTTTACACATTACAATGCAGATTCTTCTTTCTCCTTTAGGACCCAACATTCTATAACGAGCATTAAATTAAATCACACTCATTTGCATGAAATATAATATATAATGCCAAACATGTTGCCAACGATTCTAGATAGCATAGCACATTCATGATTCATGTATGTATCAATATCAATGTATTTGTGGTTTGTCTTCTTTTATGGACCATTCTTTACTCACACAACACAACTAAAGGCTAAAGGCTTGAGCAACACAATTGGGTTTGTTTTGTGTTACTGAGAGAGATAATTACAAACAAAATCTGCCAGCTGGAAGCTGATCATCTTCACTTTATCTGGGGCGACCAAATCAAGTCAAACTGAAGCTGAAACTTTCTTTCACCTTATTATATTCACTAATGAATTTGCATAATGGAAACAAAAATCATCATTTCATATCTCAAAAGGTGTATGAGAACTTAGAATCCTTCTGCACCGTGTAATAAGGAAAAGAGAAAGACTCGAGGTTTAGAATGAAAAAGGAAAAACAAGAGAGAAAATAAGATGTACACACAACATAAAGTAATCTTCTGATGTTTATACTTTATACTACTATTTATGGTATCTTATTCACTTTTATAATAAATAAATAAAAATTCATACCAGTAATATATGTTTAGTTGATAATGTATTCATGTATCATCATAAATTCAACATAAAATATATTAATTGCTATAAATGATGTAATAAAGAATAAATCAAAATAATACTACATATTTAATTATATATAATTAAATTCATGTTGTCTTATATATTAATTATTTTTATATTAAAATATCTTACTTAAAAGGGGTCAGTGAAAGATTGTAGTAATAAGAAAAAATGAGAGCAATAATTAGAAGAGAATAACAATGAGTAATTTTAGAGAAGAATATATATATATGAATGATTATATA